GGAAAATAGGAACATAAATAGTGCGATCATTGCCAGACTTGGCCCACATCTGGTTGTCATACACTCTACCATGACACCAGTCAGCCAGAAGTGCCAGCTTGATGCCGGATCCGGACCAGACCTGTTTTCTATGGGCCTGGGCCACATAAACCAAACCACAATTGAGCCAGATATGGCATGCCATTACATACTGTAGACAGTGTCATCTATGCCAAGCCTGGCCCATATCTTGATGACATATGTCTTATCATGCCAGAAGTCAGCCAGCAGTGCCAGTTTGATACCAGATCCGGGCCAGACCTGGTTGCTATGTGGGCAGGAGCGTCTGAATGACCAACAACAGCAGCAGCAGATTTAAAATACTGCCCCCTAATGACACAACACAGGTACTACATGTAGATGTGAGTCTACAACACACAGCGTATGACTACCAATGCAGGATCATGCTAAGTGCACACACACTTTTACTGATCAACACAGAATATCATTTTATCTGAGAAACTCAAACTCATGAGAGTCATTTAGTACTGTGTATATCTGAAGAACTAAACTACTGATCTACACTAATTAATGATGTTAATGATCACATCTGGACTCACAGAGCCTTTCTGCAGTTCCTCACAGCTGGAATCAGTCTCTGTCGTCCCTGCTCTGATGTGTTGTACTTCTGCAGGTACAACTCGTCCAGAACCTCCTCTGACATCTGCAGCATGAAGGCCAGAGCTGAGCAGTGGATCTCAGGGAGTTCCTTTGATTTGGTCTCTGACTTCAGGAACTCTTGGATCTCCTGAAATAATGAGAGGTCATTCATCTCCATCAGACAGTGGAAGATGTTGATGTTTCTGTCAGGAGAGATTTTATCACTGTTCATCTTCTTCAGGTTCTTGGTGACTCTCTGGATGGTTTCTGGACTGATCTCTGTCTGACCCAGCAGACCTCCTAAGAGTCTCTGGTTGGACTCCAGAGAGAGGCCATGAAGGAAGCGGACAAATAGGTCCAGGTGGCCACTTTTACTCTGGAGGGATTTTTTCATGACTCTGTTCAGGAAACCATCCAGAGGTGACTCCTTCCAGTCTCTCCT